TTTTTTTTTTGGTGGCCAGCGCAGCCTGCCCTGTGGTGCTGGGGATTGAACTGCAGCCCCTGCATGCTTTTCCAAGCAGGTGCTTTAGACCACTGAACTATCTCACTGGCTCTCAACATTGGCTATTATTAATTTTCCATATAAAAGTCACCTTTTCCAAATAAAATTTGGGTAGGACTTGTCCTTTGAATGCCATTGAAGCAAACAAAAAGTAAAAATTTCCTATAAAACAGAGCTTAACAGTTCCTATTCAAAAAAGTTTCTTTAAAAAAAGAAGTTTCTTTCATAAAAACAAATATGAACTCACATGTGCAAAATTGAAAGATTTGTTCCCGTGGTTTTTCTTTTTTTTATGCCCTATACCATTTCGGGCTTTTCCTGTAGCTCTTTCTAAAGGGAGTGTCTAGCCAGTTATAAATATTTTTAGGCTTTTCTCTTTTATATCCTATTTTTATTTTGGTTTTCATCTTTTGTTTGTTTGGTTTTTCTTGAGACAGTTTCTCTATGTAGTTCAGACTGGCTTTGACCTCTGTGTAGCCCGGACTGGTGTCAGACTTGTGGTGATCCTCCTCCTTCCGCCTCCCAAGTGCTGGGATTACAGGTGTGTGCCACCATGCCTGGCTATTTTCTATTTTTAAAACCTGTTAGACATTGAGTTTCTGCTTAACAAATCACTGACTTCCCATATTTAGGAGCCAGGGCCCAATCAGGAGAGAAACTACATATAGCAATTTGAGCACAGTTTAATATAACTATCTGTAGCAAATAATTGCTGTAACTTGAAAGTAACTAGTAAAAAGTAAAGAAATAGAGTTGGGAGATACCTTGTCAGCATAAGAGCTATCCGATAAGCACAAGGTCCCGAGTTCAATCCCTGGTACTACCTGCCATGCTGGTCCTGAAACCGGGTAGGGTGGCACACATCTGTAATCCCAGCACTGGGGAGGCTGAGACAGGAGGATCACTATGAGTCTGAACTGCGTTTCGAGACCCTGTACGAACAAGTAAAAGTAAAAATAATTTTTTTAAAAAAATAAAGAAATAGCATGTGGAAACATGGTTAGCATGATCAGCAATGAGGAAAATGCAAATAAAAACCACAATAACATACCACTTCCCGCCCACTAGGATAGCTGTAGCCTAAAAGACAGATAACAAGTGCCAGAGCAAGTGTGAAGAAATTAGACCTTTTATATGCTGTTGGTGAGAATGTAAACTGAGTGTTGCTGCCATGGAAATAAGTGACATTTCCTTGAACAGTTAAACCCAGAATTATCACATGATTAATGTATATGTCATTTCTCTGAATATATACCTGATATTGATTGGAGATAGATACCCAAGAAAAGCAAAAAGTTTATGCCTGTATGAAAACTTGTACACCTTCATTGCAGCAGTATTCAGCACAAAGGTGGAAACAACCCAAAAGCCTATCCATTAGTGAATAGATAAAATACTCATACAATGGGATATTTAAAATTGTTTTAATAGTACATGCTTGTAGTACATAATGACCACATTCTTTGGAGGAGTTAGTACACATGTACCTTAATTAAAAATTTTTTTTGTTCCCTTCTGGTCCCTCTGCTTACCTCCATTTTTTTTTTTTTAACCTCCATCTTTTGATTCCCTTCTCATATAAAAGATCTAGCTTACTGTATGTTTTTTATCTTTTATTTTGCTCTTTATTTATACTTTGGGTTTTTCATATAAGAGAAAGCATGTGATATTTAAGCTTGTGTGTCTGATTTATAACACTTAACATGATTTCAGGGCATACCCAGTTTCCTGCAGATGACTAGTTTATCCTTCTTTATGGCAGAGTAGTACTACACTGTGCATAAATGCCACATTCTCTTTCTGTCTCTCTGTCCCTATCTCTGTCTGTCTCTCTGTGTCTCTGCCTATCTCTTTCTCTCACTCAGGCTAGCTTCGACTCACAGCAGACTTTCTGCCTCAGCCTTCTGGGATTACAAGTGTGCGCCACCACACCTGGCAGTCCCACCTTTTCTTTATCCGTTCATCTGTTGATGGACATATAGTTTGCTTCCAAGATTTTGCTATTGTGCTATAATCATGGGTATGTATGTATCCTATAATGTGCTGTCTTTAACTCTTGGAAAGATGCAGAGAAGAGAAATAATTATGTCAAATATAATTTCATGAAAAAATGTTGGATTTTGTCAGTCTTTTTTGCTTTCTTTCTTTCTTTCTTTCTTTCTTTCTTTCTTTCTTTCTTTCTTTCTTTCTTTTGGTGGAACCAGGGATTGAACTCAGGCCCTTGTGCTTGCCACACAAGCACTTATTCTATTGAGCTATCTCCCCAGCTTTTGTAACATTTATTGAGATGATTGTGTAATTTTTCCCCTTAATTTATTGACTGGTGTACGTTGAATCATCTTTGCATTCCTGGGATAAAAGCCTACTTGGTCATGATATGTGATCTTTTTGAAGATTCAGTAGCAGTTTCTTTCCCTGTATCTTGTTGAGGACTTTTGCTTCTATCTTGATACAGTGAAGAGATTGGCCCATAGTTATCATTTTTGGATGGATCCTTGTCTTGTTTGGGAATCAGAGCAATGCTAGCTAGCTTCTAGGAATAACTTTGAGAGTACTTCTTCTCTTTTAATTTCATTAAAAAGCTTGAAGAGTATCAAACTTAAAAGTGTCCTGAAGGTTTTGTAGATGATAGCATGAGCCCATCTGGGCCTGGGCTTTTCTTGGTAGATTTTATTTTATTTTTTATTTATTTATTTATTTATTTTTAGCAATTCAACAATGGTTGTATTGTATGTTATCTTCAAATTAGTTATTTAAATTATCAGATATAAACATGGGAAATTGGTTTTTTAAAAAGTTACAAGAAATTAAAAAGAAAAAAATAAGCATTAACTGCTCTTTCAATAGACCAGCAGAAATCAGCAGTACCATTATTCCAGCTATCCTGTACATTAACATAAACATATCTTCCCCTCATTTCGTCTTTTTCCTCCTCCCAGTTTCCCTTCCCTTCGAGCAGATTCTTTCCCTTTCACGGCATCTATTGCGCCTTTCAGAGTTTATTTACTCTTTCAGGTTCTCACACTAGCAAGAGTATTTGCACATGCAGGTCTGATTTATCAGCTTCTATTTCAAATGGTAACATCGCCTCACTGGTGTCCTTACAGTAAGGAGTAATTTAAAATGTTATACATTTCATGTATATTCATCACTGTTTTAAAAACTATGAATACAATCTGGACACTTTTTTCCATCTTATAAAACCATTAAAATATAGACAAAATTGAAGGGATTATTCAGTGAGTTTACACTTCAAATAACATTTAACATTTTACCATATTCTTTATCAGACATTGGTTCATTCTTCTATCGAATCAAGAATCCATTTTACAAAACAAAACGAAACAAAAAACTAAGCTACACAACTGTAATTCTAGCACTCTGGGAAGCTGAGGCAGGAAGATCACAAGTTTGAGCTCAGCTCTGGCAACTCAACAAGATTGTCTCTAACAAGCAAATCAAAATATGAGAATATAGCTTGGTGTGAAGCCCCTGGAGCCAGCCCCCAGTACAAGTTTTTAAAAAATCTTGTTGATACTGCATACTTTATTCTTAAATGTTTTAGTTAAGAGTTCAGAATTTGCTCTTTTGGAGTAGAATGCACCCTGATTGGTCTCAACTGCGAGTCTCATCCCTACAGAGGTTTCAACCTAAGATGTTTTTGGAGCACACTAACATCAGTACATAGCACATAGTGTTAAGAGTCCGTGCATTCTCCTGGGACACTTGCTGGGACTCGGTGGACAACAGCTCTGCCCACTCCTCCTCCACCAGGTGGGCCCGTAAGTTCACCACCCCTGAAGAAAAAGGCCTCTCAGAACTAACCCTGTCGGTCCTGACCTCAGACTTGCAGCCTTCTGAGAGAAACAAAGGCCTTTCATTTCACTGCTAAATTGAGTGTGTCCCAAGCCACTCAATTTAGCAATGTTTGGACAGCCCTAGTATGAAAGAACACCACTTTCCTCGCCTCTCCTCCTCCACTCAATCACTATGTCCAGAAGCAAACCATTATACATTTCTACCATACTCATTCTGGCTGTCTGGAACACCCCATAAATGGAACTGCATAGTACCCAATCTTTCACATCACTTTTTTCTCAGTTTGAGTCCACGTAGGACTTCCTGTAGGTTTATCCAATTGAGTATTCATGGACCCCTACTGCATATTTCTCTATTATGAAGACTTGCTTGAAATATCCTTGTGCAAATCTTTTAGTGATTATTGTATCTCTTTAGTAAATACAGAACAGTGCAGACAAGGTTTGGTATATGCATAATTCTGTAACAAATCGCTAAAACTTTTCCAAAAGGATTATGCCAGGCATTACACTATAACCACGACGCAGTCTAGCGGATCCGTCCTGGGGCATATGTGGCTCTCTGGCCTTAATCGTGCTGGGCGTGTGGTGCGTTGCCAAGCCGGCCCCTGTCGCCAGAACGTGGCAGAAGCCCAGGGGATGAACCTGGCCATCGCAGCCCAGTCCATCAGGAATCCAGACCTTGCCTTCACCCCGTCCTCCTTGCTCCTCCGCAACACTGTTTACTCGCTCCAAAGTACTGGCGTGGACTTTTCTACTTTCCTGTCCCCCTTTGTATGCCGATTTCCTGCAGGACAACCTCCAGGAGGGTGCGCGTGCAGGCCCAGCGCTCAGAGTCCGTGTCGATGCCAGGCAAACAACTGGAGGAGTTGATTGCTAAGGCCAGCGCCGCGCGCGTCCTCAGGCGGCAAGGGACCCGCAGGTGCACGCGGCAGGGCGGCGGCGCGCCGAGGCCGGCTGCTCAGTCCCGGAGACCGCCCAGCAGCACCAGACGCCCGCAGAGTGCGGGTGCAGGCCGGCGGACCGAGCGGACAGGCCCCCGCGCGCACCGCACGCCCGCGGCCACCTGCGGCTGCAGGAGGCGGACGCCCGAGACGGCCCCGCGCGCCTCCACACGCCTAGATTTTATTTATTTTTATTATTGCTTCAATTTCATTGGCTAGGGGGCCTGCTGGTTAGCTCAATTGTTTAAGCACCTGCTCATGCAAATGCAGTCAGGCATAGGATGCTGCGGTTCAATCCCCACCTCCACCTGCCTTAACCAGACCTGCCCTTAAGGCAACCTGCACCAGCCAAAAAAAAAAAAAAAAAAAATCTCAATTTCACTGGCTATTATTGGATTATTCAGGATTTTTAAATCCTCTTGACACAGTTTGGGTAATTCATATGTATCTAGGAATCTATCCATTTCTTCTGAATTCTGCAATTTATTGGCATACAGGTTTGTGTAGTAGTTTCTAATAATCTATTTGATTTTAGCAGTGTCCATTGTGATTGTACCTATTTCACTTCCAAGACCCCATTGATTTGGGTCTTTTCTGCCCTTTTTTGGTTAGGTTGGTGTAGTGGATGGTTGGCTGTGTCAACTTGAGAAGCTAAGAGCTTAACTAAATTGGCTTAGCAATTCCACACCCTAGAGTGACTCTTCACTTAAGGGAGAATGAGGAAGGACGGAGGGTCCCATTTTTCTTAGAGGAGCTCCAGTCTTCGCCAGCAGCTTGGCCATTATCTCCTGGCTGTGGCACAGACTCTTGGTTTCTGCTTGGATCCCTCAGCTTTCTAGTGTAGACTCATTGTCCTTCCATCGCAGATCCATCAGCATCCTGATACGGACTTGCGCAGAACACTGTTATGGGCTCCAGACCTTGAACTGAATCCTTCAGTCTCTAGTGTGGAGTTGCGCTCTGCACACTTCCTCATCTGACTCTGTGGCTGAATATTGTAAGCCAATCTTGGAATTTCTGATACATTTTTATATCCTGTGTTATATCTGTACCTCTAGTAAAACCCTGACTGATACAGTTGGCTAACCATTTGTGTATTTCATTTGTTCTTTTGAAGAAACAACTCTTTGATTCGTTTATTTTTGGGGATGCATTGGTCTCAATTTCATTGTTTTCTGCTCAGTGGAACAGTCATGCATATACCACTTGTGCTTTAAGTTGTCAGGAATATGGTAATGTCAGTTCTTTCACATTTAGTTAAGGCTGATTTATTGGCTAATATGTGGTCAGCTTTGGAGAAAGTTTCATGTACTGTTGAAAAGTATGTATTTTGAGGTTGGATAGAAAAATCTAAATATCTGTGAAGTCTTATTTCTTCAAAAGATTTGTTCAGCTATAATTTTTTTAAGTTGTTCTAATGTTAGTGGCATATTGAGGGCCTTTATTATAATTGTGCCTATCCTTGTCTGGTCTTTTATGTCCAGTAGTATTTGTTTTATAAAGTTGGATGTGCCATAGTTAATAATTGGTATCTATTCCTGTTGGATTGTTCCCCTGAGTAACATATTATGGCCTTCTTAGCCACTTTTGATCAGTTTTGGATAAAGTCCATTTTGTCTGAATAAATGGACAGCTACTGCTTATTTTTGGGTTCTTGTTACATGGAATATTGTTTTCCATCCTCTGATTTTTAGCCTGTGGTTTTCTTTTTGGATTAAATGGCTTCCTAGGAAGTGAGGAGAGAAAAGTGATCCAAAAGATCATATAAGGAGTAACAGTCAAGAAACAAATGAGAAATGGAAGAGGAAAGAAAAAGGGGAGAAAAAAAGATAATATGGAGAACCAAAAGAAAAATAAAAAAGAAACAAATCAGAAAGAAAGAAAATGAGTCCAGAAAAGGAATGTTCTGTATTTTTTTAATTAATTAATTTATGTGTGTGTGTGTGTGGCCAGCTCAGCCCACCAGGGGGCGGGGCTGGCTGGCATGTGGTGCTGGGGGATTGAACCGTGGTCCCTGTGCTTTGCTAAGCTTGTTCTAAGTAGGTGCTTTAGACCACTGAGCCATCCCACCAGCCCCATGTTCTGTGTTTTTTAATGAGTGGATTTCTTCCAAGATCCAATTTGGAGCTGAGCAAGTCACACTTTTTCTGCCTAGCATTTCAGCCCATGATTTGTTGGATACATGCACTACAGAGGCCCTTGGGCAGCCGCGTCTGGGGCTGTGTGCATGCCAAGATGTCTTTGTGCTCACTGACAGATATGAAAGGCAGTCAGACCTCAGACCCACGTTTTTGTCTAGGGAGCTGGGTTTCCCTCCCGGATGAAACTATCTCATCTCCCCACGAGCTGTGACGTGGGGAAAGAGATGAGATAGTTTCATCCTTTGCGTTATGGACTGTCTCTGCAACTTCTCTGTAACTTCTGTTTTTCCTGTCAGTTCCTTTGCAATTCTTGGTGAGCTGATTTTTTTTCTTCTTCTCTTCACCACGTTGTTATTTTCCAGAGTCTGGATTCTGGATCTCAGAGAGATGGAATTTTGCTACTGATCACCACAGGACTGTTCTTTAAAAATACGTCCATCAAGTGTAGTGGTGCAACCTCTAATCCCAGTGAGTTCGAGGTCAGCCCAAACTGCGTAGTGAGACCGACCCTACTGTGCTGTGTAATCCAAGCATACAACCCTACAATGGACTTGCATTTGGGAGCAAGAAGTGATGAAGTACTGATACGTGCTGTAGCACGCATGAGCCTCAGATTCATTCTGAATGAAGTCAGTCACAAGTGGCCATACATTGTACTTTGTTTATATATGTTCCAGAGTAGGTATGTCTATAGAGTCTAAAAGTAGATTAGGGTTGGAAAAACAGGAGATCCTGCAAAGGAGTGACACAAAATTTGGATAAATGTACTGTGGATTTCTGCTGGTCTGTGAGAAGGAGTAGTTGATGTGTAAATTTTTTTGTGTGTGGTTCTTTTTTTCAAATTTTTTTCCTTTTTCTCTCTCCTTAATTTCTTTTTTCAAATTTTCTGCTATTTTATTAAAAATATAGACTAACGATCTTGCACTTAAATATCATTGTGGTTATGTGCTGGCTTTCAGTAAGCACAGCTATTTGTAAGGGATTCATCACAAATATACTCTAACAGAAGTAAAATTAAATAGAAATGTCAGGACAGTGACATTTTGAACATGACCACCTTACAGTAGAACATGGAGTCTGAGATTATTTACAATTACACCAACCTTTGTAGAGGCAGAATATTACCACAAGACATCTTTACATAATTCCCAATAATTTTATATTTTAGCCATAAGGGTCAGTTACTAGAGGCCAACTTGCTCCTGACAAATAGAATTTTTATGTCCATTCAATCAAAGAGTCTCTTACACCTTCCTGGACCTAATCATTTGCAGATAGGCAGGAGAAACTGTAGCCAGGTTCTTCTGTCATATGTTTACATAGGATGCCCCATCTTCACATAACGTCCAATGTCTTCGAGATAAATGGAGTGACTTGCAGCAGGGCTACGTAGATTAGGAAGTTCCATACGGAGGAAATCACGTCCTCGAGCATCTTCCATTTCATCTCTTCAGGGTCCAGTTTCGGCATGAGGCCCTTAATCGGAAGTATCTTCACTCTGCAGCAACACCTTCCAGCCACCGTGCTTTGCTCTCTGTTTAAAAAATTTTTAACTCATTATTAACTATTGAAAATCAATAATAATTATATAGCAAATTAAAAATTAATAGACTGGGAGCTGGGGCGACTCAGTAGAATAAACACTTGCCTGGCAAACACAAGAGCCTGAGTTCAATCACCAGTTCCGAGGGGGGGAAATATATATATATATATATATATATATATATACACACACAAATATTGAAATATGAAAGAACTAAGATGTAGACAGTGAATTTTAGAAAACTTTCTGAACTGAATACATGAAATTAATAATAGATTGCACATTGTAAAAAAATTACAAACTTGAATATAACAATAAAAATTGTCTAAAATAAACATGAAGAAGAGTTTACAGATCAGTCATATAATAGTTCACTGTGCAAAAATCTTAATTTCTTTTCTCTTTTTCTTCCAATTTTACATGCATATACTGGGTAATCTGAACAACTAATTTATTTATTTTTGTTATTAAATATATACATTTATGCCTATGTTCTAAAAACTTCAAAGATTTTGTACATTTGTAGAAGTGGCTAGAAGGATTACATGTTTTACATGTAATATATATATAACTAATCATCTCATTATAACTAGTAATTAGGAGATAATCATCTCATATGCAGAAAACTTCTGTGATACTGCCTTTCCTTTTCCTCAACTAAAACTAGCACACACAGAGCAAATACGTGACGATCTACACACCAGGCCGAAAATGAGGAAACCCAGTTTCAAACAGAAGTCCTGTTACTAACTAACTACATAGCTATTTTTGTAAGGTTGTTCTAGTTCTTAAGATAATTGCATGAAATAACATAAATGCTCCATTTAAACATTTTTTAACAACTAATTTAAAGAACAGTGTACAATACAACAAATACTGTCAGATTCTTATTATTTTATTTAATGAAATTCTGTATCATTTGTAATTTTTTCTATTTTAGTATTATTTTGTACTTTTTTTTGTATTTTAGGGAAGGATCTATAGGGTGTTCAGGGTCTCTCTACTAGATCAGACTCGTAGTGATCCTCCTGTTTACAGCCTCCCAAGTGCTGGGATTACAGGCTCGCACCACCATTGCCATCTCAGCGCACCCCGGGGCTGGGGCCAGTACAGCAGGCCCAGGGATTGAACATCCCCAGCCCTTGAGCCAGCTTGCAGGTGCTTTAATCCACTGAGCTATTTAGCCGGCTCTCTGGCCTGTCTTTAAAAAATAAAAGATTTAAAAAACCAACAAAACAAAAAAAGATGCAGAGTATCTTTTCTTGGGCAATGAAAATGTTCTTAACTGTGATGATAACTGTACAATTCTGTGAACTTTGTGAATATTCTAAAAGCCATCAGATTATATGTTTTGAATGGGTGAGTTGTTTGGTATGTGAGGGCTATCACAAAGCTATTAAAAAGAAGTAAAGAAAGCTATAAAAAATTTAGAAATAGCAGATATAAAATAGCAGCCACCCACGGCTGAGGTACCAGA